AATTTATATTGCCAAATTTATCCATTTTTTATATGAAGTTGTATATCTTTTTTTCGCGCAAAATTGTTGTTAGTACTAGGCTTTCCTTAGTCAATAGGATTCTAGTGACCTTACAGGAAAAAGAACACAAGTTTAATTAAGAATAAACTATTTTTGGGATTGTGATTATTATTTAACATAGCATAACATCTTTTGGTATTTTGTATCGCGATTAATGTTAAAAATAAACCCTCTTGTATAAATGTTATTAATTTCTTACAACAAAAGTTTACCTCTAACATTTATGACAACTACAGAAATATGTAGAACGTCCTGTATATATATTCACACCACTTCAATAGGCAATTTGAACTACCTTAAAAGAATGTAAGAATCAAAACTTTTTAATATATATACACCAAATAAGGTAAAAATCTGAAAGCTTTAAACAAAAAATTGCTATATCCTCAAACTCAAGATTTTAACATGATTTAAGAATTAAAGCTATCTTCAAAAGATATAGAATGAAGAAGAAACAATATTGGAAGTATAATACTCTCGTCGCAAAAAGTCAAGTAAATGCATAAATAATTATGTAAAAGGATTTTGTCATCATTATTGCTATAATAAAATGAATTTGATTTACTTAAAACTATTTATTTTATGTTTAAAAAAAATACAAAATACCAATTTTAATGTAGCGGACTTTGTAAAATTATAAATTGTTAATGTTTAATAGCATATATAAAAATAGTTAATTTAAAAAAAATAGTATTATTTTAATATAAATTTCACATAAAACATTTGCTTCTATTAATGCACTATTTAAGATAGTAACACCTCATATAAAGTTGCAAACTAATTAATGAAAATTATGTGTTATTAGTTTTAAGTTGATTTATAATTAATTTATTTATTTTTTAAATATTTTTAATTAAATTTAAGTTGAAAAATTTGAATTTAGAAAATGTTTTCAAATGCTTGAAATTCACAATCACTGATGCTTCTAGTTATTAATTTATTACCAAAACATAACAAAAAAAAATTATAAATAAATCCCAATGCTTTACTAACAAAATTTTTAATATTTCACGCTTACGCTTAATAAAATGAATTATAGGGCAGTAAATTTATAGCCCTCGCAGATTATGTCGCAGTGGGACACTCTGAAGTCTCAATGCGCGAAGGCGAGATTATTGAGCTGCTTAAGGTGGGCTGTGCTGGTTGGTGGTTTGTGCGTGTTATAGGTAATAAATAATTATCTTTAAATATGTATGTAGTTATATATATTTTGTTTATTATAAATCTTTATTTTTTATTTTAAATTATATTGGGACAAATTTTATATTGTATATTGTAGTTGGGACAAATTGTGTTAAAAAATACTAGATATATATATATCTATATAGATATATTATGTATATAAAGTATATATAAAATATAAAATTAATATCTAATAGTAAAAAATAATTCCAATAGACTTTTTTATGATTTATAATTTTTAATTTTATATCAATAAAAAATACTGAAAAAAAGCCCAATAACAGTTGAGTCAAAATAAAAATCGCACTTTGGAGATAATTATTAGTATATATAGTAATAATAATATTTCAGAAACAAACATAATTAAAATATTTCCTAAGTCTGTTTACTAAATGAGCTGTATTTTAAAATATGATAATAAATAAATTAAAATAAATTAATTCATTTTAATTTAAAATTTTGATCAAATTTAAAAAAATTAATCATAATCATATATTATAGATTCTAATACAGAAGGTTGGACCCCAGCGGCATATTTGGAATCGATCAATAGAAGATCTTCTCAGTCATCGAGTCGGAATCAAGAGCGAATAAATCCGTAAAAATCAAACGAATAAAATTATAAAAATTGTAATAAAAGTGCAATAATTATTTATATTATTTTTAATTTAACATTAGGAAATGTAAATAAGTATTAGTTTATAAAGTTAGACAATTTAGTAAACTAAATGGAAAAAATAATTGCATTAAAATTTAAATAAATCAGTTAACATTAAACACCAAAACTTTGCGTACTCAAAAAAAAAACTATTGCTTTTGCACAATTTATATATAAATATTGTAATTATATTATAAATCTAATTATATAAATTTCATAAAATAAAAATAAATGAAAATTTAGTGAAATAAAATAAATTTTTGAATAATTTGAGATGAATCTAAAAGTACATAGAATTATAGAGAACTTTGTTAAAATAAAAACTTTGTTATATTTGGGCTATAGAATCTCTATTATATCTATGGATGTCTATATAGACTAGTATGATTTTTTTCTGCATATATGTATATTTCTAACTTAAATTATAATATATGATCATATATATTAATCATATGACATAGATTTCATGGTTTATTGGACTATGAAATCATTTGCGAACTTTACGGGATGTTTCCAGAAAACATACTGTTTATTTATATCTATTAGATATTTTATATATTTTTTAAAGCAATTAATATAATATTTATATCATTTTCACACACTAACAAAAACATAATTTTATACAATATATGAATCCTTTTTTATCAACAAAAAAATGTTAAACCATGAACAAAATATTTTTAGACATTAAATTAAATGAAGTGAATGCCAAAAAAAACAATAAATTAATAAAAGATATTAATAAAAATAATAATAATTTACAAAACGTAGATTCAGTATTATTTATTACTCAAACAAATAATATAGAGCTGCTATAAATTGTAATTGAAACACTCATATATTTCATGAATGTCTTCTTACTGCTTTTGATGATATGGTTTAAAATGTATTCTCTTATTTTTTTCGTATAACTATAGATCTTAGAGATATGTAAATTTTCTAATTCAGCCACTTTTCAGAACTTAACAAACCTTATGTCACAATAGGAATACAGAAAAGATGTAAATGAATTTAATGTGACCCAAGAACCGTAAAAAATTGATGGTGTCATATCATTTGCTCGGATATAGCTATGGAACTATGAGAACTAAAATAAATATTAAATTAGTTGTAAAATTGGTAGTCACAATAAAATCAGATGCTGTCTGTTTAGCTTTTTTTTAATGAAATAAGACACTGTGTCTTTTCGAACTGATTGAATATATTAAGAATGTATTATCCAAAGAAAAACACAAATCGTAAACCTCTGCACTTAAAACATCTTAACTTATCTAAATACAATATATATCTATATATATTACCTATCTAATATGTACTATCAACTATATATGCACACAAAGCAATCTATTATTGTTCTTAATATTCTAAAAATGCTTATATATATAACCTGAGCACTTTTTTATATCTTTCTTTTATAATTAAATCTAAACTAAATCATTACCGGACTTATTGACAGATCTATTAGAACTAGTCTTAAAACCTAAAACCAATAAAACATAATTTTGCTTACTAATTAAAAAAATTTTCAAAATCTAAATTTGTAAAAAATTTGTAGAAACTAAAATGTGCATACAGAACTATATTATTAATAGTCACTGCTTTTATGTTTTGTAAAAATCTATTATGTTTAAATTTGTTAATTATAATAACAGCAATAGAAGCAATAAAAATAATAAATGATGTAAGTTTTTTACTATATGGTAGTTTTAATTATGTTATAAAGTTTAAGTATATTTATTAAATATTACTTTAATGTGAACGAAAATAGTTGCAATATATATTTAAGTATAAAATAAATATAATAAAAATGGCTTAAAATTCAAATAAGATTTTTTTTTATTCAAATAAAAATAAGTAAATAAATAAATCTGTAATTTTTTTACAGGAATTTTATATCCTATGTTAAGAAATGGAAGTTTGCACACAGAAAATTACAGCAACATGGCTTGCCAACATAAAAAAGACCCTCCTCGAATGAGGAGGCTCCGAAGGGGAATAAGTCTTTTTGAAGAGAAGGTTTTGATCCCTATACTACACCGACGACGAGAGGTCTGATAGTGCACAAAGCATTTCACCTCCAGACCACCAAATAAGATGTTCAGTTAAACTCATTTGAATTCATCCTCATTTGAATTCATTCTCATTTGAATTCAATATCTTCAATATTTTTTGCTGACAGATGCCCTATTTAATCCGATATAACAGCACAAATCATTTGATTTTCTAATTTTTCTAACTGTATTGGAATAATATCCTCACTAGTAAATTTATATGTATTTGGCTTAAAGATGATCAATGTTTATGTTTATAGAAAGTATTGCTCACAAACTAATTGAAAATTATTCTCTTTTCGATTCGCACATAATATGGAAATACATATTTACATGATTGTATTTCCATGTCATAATAATGTCAAATAGATGAAAATAATAGTACCAATTTATTTTTTTTTTTGTTGATTAATTTATTGATGTTCGAAAGAATTCAACAACCATCATTTTAAAACATAATCATGCAATTAAATATCAAAGATATCATTGTTCAATACAGCTTTATAAAAATTTTTTAACTACTTTCATATTCATTGAATTTAACTTATGTTATTTTTTATATAATTAAACAAACTTCTTGAAAAATATTATTTAATCTTTAAATTAAATTTTCTTTAAGTATAGTGGAATAGTAAAATATTCAATAATAATGTTGGTTCAGTTATTTTTTATTAAACTGTCTTTTAGTCCCTCTTCTTTTAGAATCTCTTGGACAATGATATATCTTTAAATTAGATTTTTTATCAGCTGCTTTCCTCGTTATGGGTTTAGCTTCTTCAGGTTTCATCAATTTCGAAGCAGCAACCATATTTTTAAAATTTGAACGCAACCTTTTTGCAACTGAATCTGTTTGATCTTTTGAGCACGGATATATTTTTGTATTCGATTTTTCATCAGCGGCTTTCCTCAAAATTTCCTTTAGTACAGGATCCATCGTTATCGGTCTACTTCGTTTCGGTTTCATCAATTTCGAAGCAGCAACCATATTTTGAAAACTTGAACGCAATCTTTTTGCAACTGAATCCGTTTGATGTCTCTCTAACTTCTTAACGTTTTCTTTATTATCTTCAGAGACTGCTCTTTTTTTATTTGGATGAGGACTTGCATTTTGAATATCTCGCTTTCTTTTACCATTTCCTTTTGAACACGACGGTTTTTCATCCTCCACGTGAAGTTTAATTGTGTTCTCAATATTATTTGCATTAAATCGTTTTCTTTGTTGTGCATACTGTTTCATTATTATTTTCGGTATTACAGACTGCTCACGGTTTGTAACAATAGCTTCCGTCTTTACTTGAACAAGTAAGTTCTTTATTGGTTCACATATAACAGACCGCTCACGCTCACTATTCACTATTTTATCAACAGCTCCCTTTCTTATTTGAATTGAATTTTGCATTATTGGTCTACATATTACGGATTGCACACGATTACCAATGACCGGTTGGAAATTGGTTAAAATTGAACGACAATTCAGTAAAATATTGGGAATATCAACCTTGTTTGCAATAAGTCCCTTTCTTATTTGAGCATACTGTTCAATCAATATTTTTGGTATTGCGGAGCAACGACAACGATCAGCAACAATGGGTTTCATCAGAGGAATTTGTGCCATTTGCGGATCCATACTTTTCGGTATTGTTTGAGTAGATTGTTTCATAATTGGTTTATATATTACGGACTGCTCACGATCGTTAACACCAGGTTTCAATAAAGTATTTGACGTAATTTCCGAATTCACTGTTTTATCAACTTGGTTTTGAATAAATTCCTTTCTTGATTCTTGATCCATATTTTTCTGTATTGTTAGAGTAGATTGTTTCATAATTGGTTTACATATTACGGACTGCTCACGATCGTTAACACCAGGTTTCAATAAAGTATTTGACGTAATTTCCGAATTCACTGTTTTATCAACTTGGTTTTGAATAAATTCCTTTCTTGATTCTTGATCCATATTTTTCTGTATTGTTTGAGTAGATTGTTTCATTATTGGTTCACGTATTACGGACTGCTCACGATCGTTAACACCAGGTTTCAATAAAGTTTTTGACGTAATTTGAGAATTCACTGTTTTATCAGCTTTGTTTTGAATAATTTCCTTTCTTATTTGAGCATACTGTTCCATTATTGTTTTTGGTATTACGGATTGCTCACGATCGGCTACAACTGGATTTATCAAAGAAGTTTGTGCCATTTGAGGATTCAGTGTTTTGTCCATATTTTCCTTTTTTATTTGAGTATACTGTTTCATTATTGGTTCACGTATTACGGATTGATCACGATCGCCAACTAGTTTCACTGAAGAATTTCGTGGCGTTTGTGGATTCACGTTTTCATCAATATTATTCATTATCTGAGCAGACTGTTCCATTATTGGTTTACATATTACGGACTGTCTACGATCGCTAACAGCAGACTTCATTGAAATATTTGGTTCCGTTTGATGGTTTATTGTTTCGTCAATAATATCCGTTTTAGAATCAGTTGGCTGCTGTTTTATTTGAGCATATTTTTCCATTATCATAACAGGTCTCAAATCATTTACATATCCTAATTTTTTCCTATGATGGTAATTGGTTATTCTTCGTTTTTGTTCGATTACTTCTCTATATTGAATTTCAACAGTTAATTCTCTGCAACGTTTTTGCATTTGATTAGCTGGTATGTTACTTAATAAGTTATGATCTTGACGGGAATTATTAAGTTCCATTGTTACTCATGTAAAAATGTTAAAAACTCTGTATCGATGTGTACTCAATTGAATTAAGATAACTAATGTTGAAAATCATTCCAATCTAATCTTTTTATACATATTTTATGCACGAATTTAGAATAGACCTTGAGCAGATCTCTTAAATTAGAAATATTTCATGAACTTCAAATTTTTTTTTATTTACTTTAGAACTCAGGTAGACACAAGCAGTTCAAACCCTTTTTTTGAATATATGTATATACATTAAGGTGGCACTGAATTGTATGGAAAAAAAATGTGAAGAAAGTTTTGATGAAAATTGATTTTCAAGCGTACCGCAACACCCTTGAGAATAGGAAACTTAGGTACAGTTTTCAACTTTCAACAGCAAACTCTAAAATTTGTTGATTATTTCCTGAAGTTAAAATATAATATATTAAACACATATATGTGTTTAATGTATATAATTTTGGAACAAGAAACTCAAATTTCATAAAAATATTAAGTTATCTTGTAAAATTGCAAAGATATTATTGCATTAGATATTAGATATTTTTATATATTTTTAACGCTTTTTCAAAACAAATGTACGAAAATTAATTTTTTTAAACTATTTATTGGACTTCAAAATGTAAACGAAAATAATTTGCAACCAAATTTAGAAAAAAAAATATAAAAATGGATTTACAGTTATTCCGTTACGTGCGTTTCATCATCACAAAAAATGAATTTTGTTTTACAATAAAACACTCCTAAGTTCTATGCTATATACTATTAAATAACTAACTAAATTGATTGATTTTAGTGAGGCCAGGTTAGAAAACTTGTTGAAAACTTTGTACGATCATTTTTGAAATTCCTCATTAGAAATATGCGGCCAGTGTTTCTTTATTCCCATAGTAAAATGTCTCCACTTTACCAGGCCCGGGTATTAGCCGAAGCAGTGTTCAGTTGTTTCTATTTCTTATTTTTCTGCAACCTCTGAAACCTATTAAATAAAATTTTTAAACTCAGTTAAGTTCTGAACTGTTTGATTTACACTGCTTGGTTTGAACTGCAGTTAGACTACGATTCTACCGTCGTAGATTACAACCTATTGATAACCTATTGATTGTGTAGTCTCTTCTCAAATCAATCGGCCTGCGTACTTGATAGTAAAGATTTATACTTGGAAGACATTAGACGATCTAAGAAGATAAAAAGATGCCATTTTAGCAACCTCTATAAATATAAAGTAACCCCATTTGACTTTTTCCCATATATGATTTAATGGATATAATGGATACATAAGTAGTCTTTGGTTGCTGTTAAGCTATAGAGTAAGGTCCCCAGAATAGAGAATCCGCTTACATATGGCTTTTCATCTGGCACTCATTTTCTTTCAGGAGAGATCGGAAATTCAATCTTTCAATTTTTGTGATTGTTTGTTTTGTATATGTACACGGCACAGGTAAAAAATTTGGGCGCCTGTACAAAGCAAAAAACTTCATACTTTAACACTATTTTTTTATTTAAAAATTATGTAGAAAAAAATTTATTAATTCCTGGAATATTCAAGGAATTTATATTTAACGGATTTCTAGGATTTGTGTTGAGTTATTATTACAAGAATAATTGAAAAACAAATATAACGAAGATAATTAGATTTTATATGGTTATTATTAAAATTATATTAGTTTATATTAAATATTTTGTATTAAATATAATTATATTTATATTAAATTAATGATTGACGTCAATTTCGACCAAATAAACTAAATTCTTAATATAAACTATTGTGTTTCCAATAAAAAGTTTTTTTATCAAACAGTAGTAAAATTACAACAACAAACCATTTTTTATTATGTTTAATTAATTGAACTTTCGACTGACCATACGGCATACAATTATATCAATTTATTAAATATTCTATTATTTGTCGCTTTATTTATTCGTAATACAATAATACACGGCCGTCGAATATTTTGCCGATTTCTGTCTTAGAGTCTCCGGCGCTTAAGCACTGTTTTTAATTTGAATTTCTATTGTCATCAAGGTTTTTTAAATAAAACTAGTATCGAGAATTCACCCAACAATCGGTACTGCGGCCAAGAGTCCTATTGTACCAAATATTGACAACAATGTTAGAAGAGATTCATATAGAACTATGTATAGAATAATGAAATGTTTCAATAAATTCCATTTAATAAAAAAATGTTATTCATTTTATTATTGAAATTTGTATCAAACACACCCAACTTTAAGATACACCCCACATGCGGCGTATGCTATAATGAAGCAATAAGTTACTTATATCAAAATTAAAGGTTCCATTGTTAGAAGTTCAACAATGTCACAATCTAGCTATACAAACATTTTATAAATTTTTTTGTAGATATTTATTGATTTAATTAACACATCAGTAGCTGATAATGATTTTTACAAATACACATATATTACATAAACAATTCAAAGTATATTTTACTGAATAAAAGTTTTAAACTTCAAATAGAGTAAAGATGAAAAATTAAACAAAAACTATTTGAAATCATTCTATATATATATAATACCCAGATAGGATATGTACAATCATTCAGATAGATTTACGTAAAATACTGCGTCATATATACACACACACAAGCATAGATGAGTTGTTATTTATATTGTTGTTCTATCATAGATAAATGTTCATATATAGTTTTTGTTCAATTTATCTCAATTTAAGGATATAATAACTACATGATTTTGCTGTTCTAAATTAATATTTAAATTTCATTATAGTTCATAATTAAAAATAAACTGTTATATATAAATGACTACACATTGAGTAACACAGAATCAATTCGATATTATCAGAACTGTTCATAATTAGTTTAATATTTAATAATTTTTACAAATTGTGTTTAATTAACATGAACACTTGCAGATGAGCGAATAATGCTCATTATTATATTTCACAAAACATAATTATATATTGTAACAAAAAAAAAATTTAAAAAAAAACAGAATTTATAAATATAATTGAAATACTTTTATTTTTGATTTGCAAAGCAAAAATACTTAAAAAACAAACCAGAAGAAATTAAGATTGAAGAGTTTTTATAGAATTGACGACTATTGGAATGTTAGCGCTGCAAAATTTGTTCACTTTCTTTTCATTTTTGTACAACAGTGAAGTATTTAAGAGAGAAAAAAAGAATATATATAAATTAAGAGATAAACACATTAGTTTTACAAATAATATTATTATCTATACATTTTATGTTATATTTGGCAAAAAGTGATAGTCGCAAAATAGTTTAGAAAAAAAATTTTAACAAATATATTCCATGTTTAAATCAAAATTTTACAATAAAATGATAAACATAATGGCGATTGTTTTTAAAGTGATTGGTTTGAAAGTGAAGTTTTTAAACATAATCTTAATTGAAGACCATTATGGGAACAGATAAAGAAGTTCCCATTTTAGTTGATGATATCTGTCTTGTTAAAACTTCAATTCTGTGTGCTTGCTTAGTTAGCTGTTACTCGGCTATTGACGTAGAATTGTTGTGCTGATAGTAATAATGTTAGCACATAGATGCAGGCGGCTATCCAACAATTGTAGGCGTTCTAAAATAAATGAATTTTTTTAAGTTATTTGAAAATATAGCATGTAAAAAAACAAAAGAAAATGCTTTAATATTATATACGGAAGTCCTACAATTCGTTATATTTTTACCTCATTAATATTTTATATGAATTCTAAGTTTATTATGCATATCACTTTTTGAAATAAACACATAGGAAGCTAATATTATGCGATTTGAAAACAGTCGGATCTACGCCCAAGAAGTACTCGTCTTTTTGAACGACCCGATACCACTTAACACTCCCAAAAAAACAACAAAAACCCCATCTGAACTTAGCATGCAAATAATGCTGGTACGCACGACCCATAAACCAATCTAGTTAGACGTCTTCAAACATTTTTAAAATACTATTGTCCAAAAATGGGCATTGACAAGTAGGCAAAATAGCGATTTCTCTTTCTGATTAGAGCCACTACCACTAAAAAATCATTACAAGGAAGACCAAGTCATTTTTGATATTTTTTGACCAAAAGTGGGCATTGACAAGTAAACTAAACACGGATTCTTCTACCTGATCAAAGCCACAGCCACGATCATTATAAAGTAGACCAAGTTCTATAGCATATCTATATCTAAGCTATAAGTTTTTAGGGCTAATAGCTTAAAAAATATTCGTTTTAATATTTAGTTTGATGTTTTTAGTTGCAATATATATAATTATTGTTATTATTGTTATAATTTAAATAATAACTAACTGTGAAAAAATCATAAATACTTCAAAATGTCATAAATACTTCGAATTCAATCACGTTTTATTGCAGAACACTGCAATAAATCATCCAGAAAAGATTTCAGACATCAAATACGACACTAACAAAGGTTGAGATAGTAATCTGGACTAAATAGACTAATACATTCGGAACGCTGATTATAGCAATAGGTATAAAGATATATACTATGTACTATGAACATATTTTATAGTAAAAACGGATATGTCTAAAATAATTTTTTTTAATTTTTTTAAAAAACAAAAGCTTATATGCTCTATAAAAGTGATAATCATGCACGACCAGTCAGTAGCATCTAACTTTGTGTGTACTATGTCAATATAATACAAGACTATTCCAATTGATAAGCCACAACTAACCAATTTTACAATCGTGTAGTGTAGTTAATAATAGTTTGTCAATCGCATTGTAAGATATCAATAGCAATAATAAGTATTAAAAGTATTCATATAGAAAAGATAAATACAAAACTATAAAAACAAAATATGAAAAATACAGATAGCAAAAATTATCAGTTATGCTATATTAGAAATATATAGGTTTATGAGCTTGCATTTAAATATAAATAAATAAAACGTAATAGAAATAATTAGGATCACAAATAGCAATGGTGGTCTATGGTGCTCCCCTCCATTACCTTCAACCACTACCCATCCACCACCCCACCCATGTAATCGTTTTGTGATCGTTATGAGATTTCCCTGATGGAAATCAAATCTGGACACACTAAGGTAATTGGTATACCTAACCACATTACTTTGTTTAGAAGTTTACACTGCAAACGAATCAATGAAAGTCAGATAGAGTTACTCTATGAATTTTTTTAACAATTGCAGGACAATTTGCATTTAATATGGTATTTTTTTAGGCAGTCTGATAATTCGGATGAAATCTATTATGCCTCTAACAACAATTATATTTTCTTCTATATGTAATATACAATATATGAAAATTCATTAAATTATAAATAATACTAAAGTCGAAATAAATCAAAAAAGATACTACTGTCTTTTGGTTCCAATTACCTCAGCACTGATAGTGTAGTAATATGAAATAAACAGAACTGTATCACCACTTTAATTAAACAATTTATAATTTCTATTAAATTAATAAGCTTATTTAACCTAACCGTAAAGCACAAATCTTTAGTGAAAGATACGGTTGTTACGAATTATTGTGCTTTCTTTGTTGTTAAAATTTATTTCAATATTTTGGTGTTTGCCAATGACGGTTCTAATTAAAAAGGCGTGTACTCAACTTTTCATTCATTATTAATAAACTAAGACTTCCACTTCTAATGTTGAACCAATTTTAAGTTTTCTAAGCTAACCTGACTGTAAGCAGTATTTGCGGCATCATAGAACTCCTCAAGTGTCTTGTATTCTTCTTCCAAGGGCAAATCCTCAATTAGTGCAACACTGTGTATGTAGAAGAATAAACCCATAAGCACCTATATAAGCACAATTTAAAATAAAGAAAAAATTTTAAATATTTATTATTTATATGTTTTTCTGTTATACATACCAATTGTATGATTCCCCATACAGAAATGATTAAGCCACAGAGTGACAACTTTGGACCACAGATTTTCATTTTTTTATTATTTTAAGCGCAGATTATACCAAAACACAAAGTAATTTGTTTAACTAACAATTTACTTATTATATTTC